TACCAGTAAGTCAAGTCAATAAAATTAGGTTATATCGTGGGTATATTTGGAGAAAATTTAAAAGTTCATCAGTTAAAAATTTAATTTTAAGTAACCAGAAAAGGAATAATCTCTCACAGTATATATATATTCTAAAAAGAGATGACTGTTCGTAATATTTTTTTTAAAAATATTTTGTAAGGATAAAAATGTACTCGTATTGGTTTTTTTAATTTAATTAATATATTCATTACTTTTTGTATAATAAACGAGGTAAATTGAAAGTTATTTTTGTAAACAGACTACTTATTCTTAGAATCTATACGATCGATGCATATTATTTTTACTATAACACATCAAACAATCAATAAAAATAGGTATTTATAAGCACTTTATTTTATCCATATACTTCAAAATTACTAGCATTATTAATAATGTTAGTTTAGTAAAATACATTTCTAATTAAGTTTTTAAGGGTTTTCATATCAAGTAAGGTCAAATAATATGAAACACATGAAGTAAGAGAATAGAGCAAGACAAAAATATATAAATACATACATACACATATACACACTTAATGCATATTATACTGTAATAACAGTCATAAAAATAATATTAAATTTTGTGACAAATTCATAAAAATATTATTCACTTATAATGTTAATTAACATAAAGAAAAAAATTATTATTATACTTATATAAAGAGGTATGGCATATGTATGTGTCTATGTGACATAACAAGGGTAAAATGGACAATGCATAAAATAAAGAAGGAAGTTTGATTTATTTATTTTTTGTTTTGAAATAGTTCTTTCATCATGTATTATTCAAATCAAATACAAATACATCGATAATAAGAAATGGAGGTTTAGTGTCCCACTCCATCGAACCAGACAGAAACAAATGCTCTAGCAAGATAATGAACAATTTGATTCGCTGAATTTTTTAACAACCGGCAAAGAGAAAAAAAGGAAACTCTTTGATAAGAGTTCTCTAATAAAAAACTAAAGAATCAAAATAAAAATAATTCACCATGTTTTCTTTCAAAGCTTGCTTCATAAGTAAATTACCAGTTTCCACAATCAACCTCATACTATTGAATGCTGCTTTAGCCAAATAAGAGTCTCACGCACAATAGCGTAGTTACATGGTTTTTTTGTGCTATTTCTGAACATCCTTTGTGGAATTAGTGGCTTTGCCCTACTCACGCATTCCTATGATCTCGCCCAACAACAGACTAGGAAATTTGATTATTGTTCAAAATTATTGACGAAATAATTTAATTTTTAAAGCAAAATTTAAGGATAAAAATACTCTCAAAATCTTCATATATTTTATACTTAATCAAATAAAATCACTTAAATTTAAAAAATAAAATACATAGTCACGATTTCAGCGACTAAAATGTGTTCCCTGGACTCACTGCGCTTTTTTTCGTCTATTTTTTTCAACCACTGCTTTTTGGGTGTCAAAATTGACACCACACCACCCATTAAGATAAGGTACCATCAGGCTATTTTGTGACAGATATCATTTGATTTGATATGGAGGGAATTTTGAATTTTTTGTCTTAAAATAATTATTTTATTAAGAGTAACAAGAAAAAAAATTAAAATTAAATTATTTTTAATTATAATAAGATTACATTTAAAAAAAAACTAAAAAATACATTATATAAAATAAGATAGATGAAATAGATCACCACCTGCTTAATCCCTATTTCCAGAACTATTGCATCCTCTTATCAAAATATATACCTCTGAGGGGTCGTTTGGTAGTTAGATAAGGTTGTGTTATTTATGTATTAATTTTTGTATAACTTTCATGACATTTTATTGGTAGATAGGAAATAAGTTATTCACGTATAAGATTAATACAATCTTTAATTGAGAATACGTTATTTACATGCATAACTCTAATCAGTTACCAAACAATCCCATATAGTTATGCGGATTTCTAAGTTGTCAACGAAGCGTCGTATTAATTTTATACATATGTATCAAACTTATTTCCTATTTACATGTCAAGCGATGTATAAGTTATACGAAAATTAATATATGAATAACTTGTTTCTCATCCGGCTATCAAAAAAACCCCTAGATAAACTATTATACATGGATAAGCACATGCATAGACAAAATCAGTGGCGGAGCCAGGAATTTCACGATGAGGGTCCAAAAATTAAACAACAAAAGCTCTTTTTAAAAAGGGAAAAAATTGTTCCAAGTGAGATTTGAACACGCGAGCACTGACTCATTAAAAATGTCTAAACACACATTCAAGACATCTTAAACCACTAGGCTATAACAACTTATTATGACAAGAGTGTCCAAAATATGTTATTTAATCACTTTGTGTGTCATTTTACTTGTATATGAGATATCTTTTTCCGACGCATGGACACCCTGGCATACATGTGCCTACGCCACTAGACAAAACTACTCTTAATGCACAAATCAAACCGTGAATAAGAAATGATTTCACCATAACTAATTTTCAAGTACACTATATTTTACAGTAATTTTATTTTTATACACTTATCAAACAACCCCTCAATATTATATAACGTTAATTACTTGTAATACCAATAGTCTAAGGGACAATCATTCGAAACATTAGTACATAGTTATAACCCAATTATCTTAATTCAAATAACTTTTGAATGCGTCCATTGTAACAACATTGATGTGACCTCCATGTTTTTCTTGTGATCTAGATATATATACGATGAATTAGTCCGCTGTTTTTTTCTTTTGAATGACTTGTCAAAAATATAACATCACACAAAGGGTGCAGGCTATTTGTGACAAAGAGTGTTCAAATTTTGTGCACCACTAATCACTAGTGTATAGCTTTTTTTTTACATTATCAGATAACATTATCCTTCTAGGACGGGTAATTAACTTTTTTCTGATTATTTTCTTTTAAAAAAATGAAAACATTAAATTCTTTTTATTTTTTCCTAATCTCTCTCCCTTGAAACCCTTCAAATTCATAACTCCTCAAATATGATAATCCATTCTCTCTCCTTGACTTTTTTAAACCCATGTGTCGACAGTCTCTTCTCTATCTATAGATGGTTCATTGTGTATATATTTATCAGTAAAAAATTTTCCGAAAGAATAATGTGTATTTAAATATTTTCGATTATTGAAAATAATGCTTATCGATACAAGAATTTCCTCATAGCAATCTCTGATGAGAGTGTTGATTGGGAATATTATTACCGTAAACAGTAATTATTTTTCTTCCAAAAGTTAGATATTTAAGACAATAAAGAATTATTTCTTTTAAAATTTATAATGTTTGAAGTTGAAGAATTACTTTAGTAGTTAATTTTTCATGACACTGAGAGAAAATAATAATTACAGTTTAGTAAATGACATTCAATTGTGAAAAAAAATTGGTGTTGAAGTCTTGAAGATTAGATTATAAACACCACATCATACAGTATCCCTGGCCGACGAAAACTACTACTCTTCCGTCTCATAAATGTGATGTTATTTAATTTAACATAAAGTTTTTTTTAAAAAAAAAAAAAGATAATTGAAACTTTTGTTATAAAATATATTTAATAAAGGTGCAAAAAAGAAAAAAAATTAAAATTAAATTATTTTTAATTAAAGTAAAATGATATTTATTTTTTGGATAAACTAAAAAAAAGGTACCACAAGAAATAAGAAAGATGGAATAGATCACTGCTACCTAATCCCTATTTCCACCACTATTTCATCCTCTTATCAAAATATATACAACGAGAGGTTGTTTGGTGGTTGGATAAGGTTTGTGTTATTCATGTATTAACGTATAATTTATAAGATGTTTGATAGGTAGATAAAAATAATTTATTCATGTATAAGATTAATACGACATTTGGTTGAGAATTTAGAAATTCCATAACTAATATATATGCATCTATAAGTTATGAGATGATCTATGTATTATTTTATGCAAGATAGAAAGTGGAATATACAGTACATATATAACTAATACATGAATAACTAAAACCTGCATAACTAATACCTGCAAAAAATAATACATACATTCACTCATAACTAATTTCTATATTACTAAAATCTACATAACTCTAATCAACTACCAAACGACCCCATATTAGTTATGCGGATTACCTGCTAAACATATTGTATGTTATATAAAAATGTATACATGAATAACTTGTTTCTATCCGACTATCAAAAGATCCCCTGAATAAACTATTAACATATGGATAAGCATGTCTCATAGACAATACTACTTTTAATATACAAATCAAACCGTGCATAAAAATAATCTCACTGTAACTACCCAGTTTTAAATTAAGATACGATAGAGTTAAATTCTAAGTCAATTAATTACTTATATTTTGGTATAGGCCAAAGGTTGAGACAAATAAATCTAGTATCTTTTCTTCTGTATAGAACATCTTTTAGCTCTTCTTATAACAGATTCAGCCATACAATTTGTTTTTGTATCTTAGAGGTAAGGTTTGACTCTCATCTTTTGCACTTTTAAAATACAATATATCTACTCTCAGATTTTCTCATTTGAGTAGTTTTATTGACGAAAAAAAAATCACATTTAATAATATTCTTACACACTCTATTGAACGAAGATATAACCATTCGAAATTTGTTACATATTAATCCAATTCATCTGAGTTATTCCATTTTAACACCCTTGTTGTGACCACCACATTTTCTTTGTGTTCAAGAATATTAATAATGAATGGGTCCGCCTTTTGTTTTTTTCCCCCAAAATTGACAACACGCTTAGACCAGGCTAATTGTGCCGAAATGTGTTTCATCACTATCCTAGGAAAAAAATTGACAGCCATTACAGGCATGATAAGCATGGTACAGATAGAATTCAATGTTTACCCAAAAATAAAAAAATAGAATTCAAATTCATTTTTGCAAGTGGTATCAAATTATTGACCTTTAAATTCATTAGCAACTAGGTCAAAAATGATTTTTAGTGCTAATGAATGTAACACGTCCATTTCATATAGATGAATAGTATCCAATTATTTCTCTATATATATTGGAAACTAATAGTTTGAGCTCCAACATCTAAAACATATAGTACTTTAAAACATTACAAAGGTAAGAATTAATATTAGTATGGATGCAATATTATTCAACAACACAGGAATGGTGACCTCAAGAAGAGCATCTCCAATTACTTTATTGAGTCGAGGTCAGCCATCACTAGTTGTACTATCAAAAGGGTGTCTCTCAACTGCTGGCAAAATAAAATTAGCTGACCCAAATCCCAATACTATCAGACGTTCAGGGAATTACAAACCTACTACCTGGGATTTTCAATATATTCAGTCCATTGACAATAATTACGTGGTATATATTTAATTCTTTTTTTTTACGTATATATATAGTATACTTGTACATACTATCGATTGTGACAGTATATTATATTAATATGTTGTATTATTAATTAAGATGATAATTAACTTTAGCGTTGCGTATAGGGAGATATGTATATGGAGCGGCTTGATGAAGTGAAGAAGGAAATGAAGAAGAATTTGATGATGATGGTTGATGGATCAATACAAGAATTAGATGTTAAATTGGAGTTGATTGATAATTTAGAAAGGCTTGGAGTAAGCTACCACTTCAAGGATGAAATAATGCAAATATTGAAGAGCATACATGACCAAAATGTAGCCACAGGACATTCATTATACTCTACGGCCTTGAAGTTTAGGCTCTTCAGACAATATGGTTTTCATATCTCTCAAGGTACGTACATGCATCTATAACAACATACCATCGAAATATCGACCAGGTTCACATATTTTAGTCCATTTTAAAATTCCAACTTTATGTGACACGTGTAGTTCAAAATTTGATGGTCAATTTGATAAATTTTCGATACGATTTTGAACATAGATTCTTCAAGTTTATTTTTTATTAGATTTTGACCAATGTATTTTATTGTGTTTTAGATATATTGAACAATTTCATGGATGAGAATGACAATCTCAAGCAGAGTATTTGTAACGACACAAAAGGGTTGTTAAAATTATATGAAGCTTCGTTTCTCTCAACAGAAAATGAAACCTCTTTGAGAAATACGACAAAATCCACATTGACACATCTAATGAGATATGTTGATCAAAATCGTTGTGGAGAAGAGAATATAATGGTGGAATTAGTGGTCCATGCCTTGGAACTCCCAAGACATTGGATGATGCCAAGATTAGAGACAAGGTGGTATATTAGCATTTATGAGAGAATGCCAAATGCTAATCCTCTTTTGTTAGAGCTTGCTAAATTGGACTTCAACATTGTTCAAGCAACACACCAACAAGATTTAAGAATTTTATCAAGGTACGTGAAAACATATATTTCTAGATACAAATTAATTTCATCTAAGTGCTGAAACATTAATTTTGATGAAAATTAGGTGGTGGAAGAATACAGGGCTTGCGGAAAAGCTTCCATTTTCAAGGGATATACTTGTTGAGAATATGTTTTGGGCCGTGGGTGCATTGTTTGAGCCTCAACATAGCTACTTTAGAAGATTGATAACAAAAGTCATTGTTTTTATTTCAATCATAGATGACATTTATGATGTTTATGGCACTCTTGATGAGTTGGAACTCTTCACTCTTGCTATTCAAAGGTCAGTACGTAACTCTATTGCAAAATAATTACTAGTAACTATATATTTTAAAATCGTAATAAATATAAATTCAGATGGGATACAAAAGCAATGGAGCAACTTCCAGATTATATGAAAGTATGTTATCTTGCACTCATCAATATTATCAATGAAGTGGCGTATGAGGTTCTTAAAAATCATGACATCAACGTTCTACCCTACCTTACAAAATCAGTAAGATTCATTCTACTTAATAAATAATTTATTTTCCCAAAATACCACTGATTTTGTCCGAGGCGAATTCAATATTTAAATGGCTGTTGTTAATTAGTGGGCAGATTTATGCAAATCATACTTACAAGAAGCAAAATGGTACCACAATGGATACAAGCCAAATTTTGAAGAATACATGGACAATGCAAGGATCTCAATTGCAGTACCAATGGTATTAGTCCACTCATTGTTCCTTGTCACAAATCAAATTACCAAAGAGGCCTTGGATTCCTTAAACAACTATCCTGACATTATTCGATGGTCTGCTACTATTTTTCGTTTCACCGATGATTTGGGGACATCTTCGGTATGCTTTTACAACTTTTATCTCATATAGATATCTAGCGAAATCTCTGTTTAGTTTAATTTATTTACTTTTGTATCAATTCAGGATGAATTGAAAAGAGGTGACGTTTCTAAATCAATTCAGTGTTACATGAACGAAAAGGGTGCTTCGGAAGAAGAGGCAAGAGAACACATTACATTTTTGATAAAGGAGACATGGGAAGCAATGAACACGGCTCAAAGGAAAAATTCTCCATTTTCTGATACATTTATTGGAATTGTAAAGAATATTACAAGAACATCGCACTTCATGTATCTGCATAACGATGTTAAAAGTAGCATCTCCAAAATACTTTTTGAGCCTATCATTATTCCTAATGTTGCATTGACTCTCAAGTAATTTTTTTTTTATATATATAGACTTCGTTTTATTACTTTGGTTTTGTATATATGTATTTCCATAAAGTTGAATTCAGAATTTGAACTTTTAAGAAGTTTCAATGATGAATTATATACAACTGAATATTCTATTTATATAATAATGTTAATGTGTTCTTTCTTATTAATTGAATTTTCGATTACATTATACATTTGGATGAAATTGTAATTTAAATCAAGAGTTGTTCACACAGTATATTTGAACAGTGAAAAACCGTATTTGGAGATTAGTAATTATGATTTTTAAGCCACATAAAGTAGAATGCGTACCAATATCAACTGCTTCCAATTTTGAACATACAATTAGTGGATTTATATATCAACTTGCCAGCTGTATTATATGTTATACAAAAAATTTATATATGAATAACTTGTTTCTTATTCAACTATAAAAAACTCTGTTAATATACTATCAATACATAAGTATAATACACAAATCAAACAGTAAATTGAAAATAATCTCAACATAATTTATTCCAAAATTATTAATATATCATATTTAATAATATTCTTATATACTCTATCAAATAACCTCTCAATGTTAATTACATGTAATACGAGTAGTCTTAGGGATAACCATTCAATTTTTTATTTTTTTACATATTGATCCAACTCATCTTGATTCAAATAACTTTTGAGCGGACTAATAACCTATCAATCGGTCCATTTTAACACCCTTGTCGTGACCACCGCGTTTTTCTTGTGTTGTAGAATATTAACGATGAATGGGTCCGCTTTTATTACCTTTTGGCTGACTTGGTCGAAAAATTGACAACACACTGTCCTTGGAAAATTATTGACCTTTAAAATCATATCAAGTCATTTATAAGCATGGGACACAAATAGAATTCAAAAGTTTTTGGAAGTGGTGTCCAATAATATTCATAGTACTGCTAATGAATATAACACGTTCATTTCATATACTTCCTTCCTATGTTCAAAAAAAGTTTGACTTATTTTTTGTATTCTATTTTAAAAAGAACAATTCTTTTTCTTTTTTGGCAAGACTGTAATTTCAGTTTTCCTCATGACATAGTTAATTTTAAGGCCAGAAAAATAAAAGGTATTTTAATACATTTGACATAATTTTAATTTAAGACCATAAGATTGAAAATTCTTTTTTACTTTCATAAATTCGTGTCAAGTCAAACTAAATCTTCTTCTTTTTAAGGAAAAAGGACCAAGAATACCCCTAACCTATTGGAAAAGGTTAAAAAAAACACCTCATCCAATCTATATCTATATATCTATAGGAGAAGAAAAAACGCCACATGTCAGCGCCACAAATTTTTAGAATTTTAAATAATTAAATATTATATAATTGATTTATTTAAAAGCATTTAATCTATGGCATATTCAATATTTAAAAAAAAAACAAATTTATAAACTTTTAAAAATATTACAACGGTTGTTACAAAAGTCTTAAATAAATTTTAAATATACCTAATTAAATATATATATACTAGAAGAAGAAAAAAGTGACATGTGTAAATACCACAAAAATTCAACAAATTTAAAATTCAAATTCAAAAAATAATTTAAAAATAATTTTAAAAAGATAAATGATGATATGTTAGTTAGTGGAAAATTTTAAGGGGTGGTTTTAGTGCCCCAAATAATTTCAAATTTTAAAATGGATATTAAATCTGAAGTTTTAATTTCAAAATTTTAAATTGTGAAGTGAAGGTAGTTATTAGTTTCAAAACTTAAAAAAAAAAAAAAAAAACATAAACCACGTTAGTTAAAGGAGAATTTTAAGGAGTGTTTTAGTGGATAGTTATTATTAGTTCCAATCTCCTATTATTTGGACATCAATCAATTTTAATTTTATACGTAGTGAAATTTTACTTAAAAAATAATTGGATTTAAACAATTTTATAGTTCTACATTGCTATTATAAAAGCAAGAAAATAAATTGAAAGACAAAGTTTATTAAGATTAGATTACGGATAATAGATAGATTTTACTAAATATTATTAAATTTTTGAATTTTGAATTTGAATGGGAAGTTACAATTCATCTTTTAAAATTTGAATTAAAAACTAACTCTATTTTAGATAAAGCCGAATTTCAATATATTATTTTCTATATAAACTAATTTTTCCATCAAACTTCATATTTTATTCTCTAAATTCTTTTGCACCTATTCTTTAATTCTTCAATCAGTTTTTTTTTTGTTCAATCTTCAGTCAGGTTGGTACGTTGGTTATACATTATTCTTCTTATCTTCATCTTTATTTTATGGCTAGCTGAAGAAAAATTGAATATATTTGCAAAAAAAAAAAGTGAAAGTCCAAGAAGAAGAAGAATAACAATATTTATCAAAGTTCAAATCTTTTACACGATATTTTTAGATGATAATGTCTTATTGTGATTACTTGTTTCATTTCATTCAATTTGATTTGTTTATGTCATATTTTGTAATTTAAATTATTTAGATCGTATGAGTTTTTTTATATATATTTTTTTTTAATGTTAGATTATTTTTACTTTGCTTAACATTTTTTTTTAGGATTGTATGTTATTTTTATTTCATAAAGTAAGTAAAGATAATACTTAATTAAAGGATTTGTTCTTCTTTGAGTATAATTTTATTGTTGAATTTATACAATTCTTCTTATCTTCATCTTTTTAGGGTGCGGATAGGTAGATTATTTGATGGCTAGTCGAAGAAAATTGAATATATTTTCAAAGAAAAAATCAATAGCCCAAGAAGAAGAACAATAATATTTATCAAAGTGAAAAAATCCCTCTGCACATGATGATTTTAGTTCATTTTATTCAATTTGATTTTTTTATATCATATTATGTACTTATATTCATTAGATCGAATGAGTTATCTGTATTTTTTTTACATTTGTAATATTTAATGGTTTTTACTGTGATTAGTATGTATGTTATGTTTAAATTATAGTGAAGTTAAGTCCAAGAAGAAGAAGAACAATACTTATCAAAGTTAAAATCCTCTGCACATGATGATATTTTTTTTGTCTATAATATCTTATTGTGATTTTTTGGTTCATTTCATTCAATTTGACTTTTTTCAGTCATATTATGTACTTAAATTTTTTAGACCGAATGAGTTTTCTATGTTTTTTTTTTCTTATAGTTGTAATATTTGATGGATTTTAGTGTGATTGATATATTTTTAGGATAGTATGTTATTTTTATTAATTTTAGTGAAGTTACTCTAATACTTTTTTATTTTATCATTTTATTGTTAATTTTTTTAATATATAATACTTAATTGTCACAAAATGTGATTCCTCACTGTCCTTGGAAAATTATTGACCTTTAAATTCATATCAGGCATTTATAAGCATGGGACAAAAGTTTTTGCAAGTGGTGTCCAATAATATTCATAGTACTGCTAATGAATATAACACGTTCATTTCATATACTTCCTTCCTATGTTTAAAAAAAGTTTGACTTATTTTTTTTTATTCTATTTAAAAAAAATGATTCTTTTTCTTTTTTGGCAAGACTATAATTTCAGTTTTCCTCGTGACATAATTAATTTTAAGGCCAGAAAAATAAATGTTATTTTGATACATTTGACATAATTTTAATTTAGGACCACAAGATTGAAAAATCTACTTTACTTTCATAAATTCTCGTGTCAAGTCAAACTAAATATTTTTTTAAAAAGGAAAAAGGGCCAAGAATACCCCTAACTTATTGGAAAAGGTTAAAAAAAAACCTCATCCATTTTTTAATCTTAAAATACCCTACATCTTTATTTTTGATTCAAAGATGCCCTTTTTCCACCTTTTGATCTAAAAATACGCTCAAACTCAAATTTAATTGAATTAAATTCTTTTACACATTAGTTGATTCTTTTATTTGTTCTGAAAAATAAATTTTTATTTATTCAAATTTTTAATATTAGCTTATCTCAAAATATTAAAAATAATTAAGTCTAATTATATTTAAAAATAAAAAATCAACTTCTTATGTTATCAAATATTTTAGTATAACTGATAGTATGAATTAAAAACGATAAAATTTGACTAATTGTATATATCCAATTATAGTTGCCATTTCTTGAAATCTAACAACCCACCCAACCACCCACCCCCCAAAAAAAAACTCCCTTTACGTCTTTTATATATATATATTATTTTTATTTTGTAAGGGTATATCTTAAAATGTAAAATGTTATCCACGTGTATTATAAAATTAGGAAACATGGTCGCGCTTCGTGCGGGGTTAAAAGATATGTGTTAGAGTGTTTTTTCTTTTGGATTAATTATATCAGTATATTATTTGACCATATCATTATCTCTTCATTTGAAATGATGATACATAATGAAACTTATCAAATTTAGCATCTATTTAATGATGAATAATACATTCTTAATGAATAAGTCATAATATATGCTCTATTAAAAAATTACTTTATTTTCATTGCGAGAATATATAAAGGAATACATCAACAACGTCCTATCATTCTTTATTAAAATGATGATCAGAGAATATATTCTCTAATAAAAAATTAATTCATATCCCTATTACATTGAAACCAATACATGAAAAACGTCATGTCTCATTCTTTGTTAGTTTGATCTAGTAAAACTCCCCTGTGTATATATTTTTTCAATTGCTCTTGTTCCTTTCTGAAATATGCAATTCGCTCATGCATAATATTTTCATACATCACTTTAACTGATTTGCTTGATTCTTCAGTTGCATCTGTATTCCAAAATAAATGTTTAGAAGAATAAATTAATATAGCTATGAATATTATCATTAATATTTTTTTTTATTAAAACGATTATCATTAATATTTTACTTTGACAATTCTCCGAACAAATTATTTGGGGACAATATCCATAAAAAAAAATTCCATTGTAGTACTTATGTATAAGTATTTGTCAAAGTCAAACTAAGGATAGAGTGTTACAATAAAAAGGTTTTAATATAATAATATTGAGCATTTGAAAACTAACCTCAATTAACCACTATGCAGATGGTGACTATGCAGATAGATGATGTGTGTTGATATTTATTATTTAGTTTGTGGAATTTATACCACATTTTTCATTTTTTTAGTTGTGCTTCCATTTAATTATTTTAAATGATGAATTAATTATTTGGATTTGTTAAATGTTTGTGTAAAGTTAAGTGTCAAGATTTTGAAAAGAATTGGAGGAAAGTTGGTGATTTGTATTGTTATTTATTTATTAGGAAAGATCTGTTATTAATTTATTATGGAGATATAGTAAATGAAAAAGTGTAGAGGAATCGTAGGATAGTGTAATTGTATAGAAAACAATTCATAAATATACCATTAACGCCTAATCTTACATCATTATTTAAAATTGTTGGTATTTTTCTCTTTTGTTAAAAAATATTGTTAAGTGAGGTAGCTTATTTATCATATATATATATATATAAGTGTACTTTACAACTTTTTTCGTTGGTTGTGTTCTCCATTTGAAATTGTTAAATCTTTACGTAAAGATAAGTGTCCACATTTAGAAAAAGAATAGGCTGAAAGTTAGGGACTTGTATTGTTTTTTTTTATTAATTCGAGTAAAACTGTAGAGAGTATCGCGAGATAGCTTGAGAGTCTGAGTTAAATGGAAAAATACGAGGCACACACTTGCTTCTGTTATTGATTTGTTATATAAAAAGAGTAAATGGAAAGGTGGACATAAATTGCTTATTATGGTGTTATTGTATAGAAAGTAATCCACACATATTAGACCACGATATGACCTTACAAAAATCTTGAGATAAAAAAGATTTTTATAGATAAAATTAAAAATACTAATATTTTCAATGATACCCCTCGATGTAATTTAACTTCAAGCACTCATCCATGAAAACACCAATGGCAAGAAGTAAAACTCGAGGCTTTTCAAACACCGACCCCAGGGCCCTTCCTCCTTCTTGCCAGGAAAAGTTAAAAGGCTACTAATTAGCAAATACCATTTGGCGTAGCATTGAGAAGGATTTGGTTGTCGCCGTAGCCTCCATATATAGTGGTTTTAAGTGTTTTTTCTCAAAAGTGCATTTGGTCAAAAGCTACATTTTCTTTAGCATTTGCTACTCTACAAAAATATTTTTTTCTGCAAAAAGCTTAGTCAAACACCTTGGTTTCTAAAATTGGGGAGGTCATAAATTGTCTCTTGCCTTATCTATTATATAGAACAGTTTAGTGTTCCAAAACCTTGGCCAAATTAAAGTCATAGTTTGGCCAAGATCTACACTGGAGTCTTAAATGGCAGACAAAAACACTCAACTCTCTTTCTAATATAACTAACTCTTGAGGTCCCAACTTAGCATAAGTTGTATGTTGTAAATTGATCATCACAAGGCAAGTGAAACTGAAGGTACCATAGTGCGTCGATAACATCCTTGCTATCAATTGAATATTCTGTTGTTAGCGCTGCATGCATCATGGTTGACATCTTTGTTCCGCCAGTAAATCCAGCTATCTACATGAGCATAATTTGCAGGAAAAAAAATTATGTTAGCTTGTGCTGTCAAAACTCAAAAGGGATAAGTAGTTTCATGATTTGATTCACATTATTAGTACATGGGTTATGTGTTAAATAAATTTTCACAGTATCCATCGTCTTCAAATTTTTGGGTACGCCTGCACTACACCTTATACATAGTTTCTTTTTTTCTTGATAGGAATGTGAAACCTTATTGGCACCCGCAACATGATTTCGAGTTGTTAAAATAGACAGTTCGAATGGTACACACGATATTTGGTGATGAATTGAATCAAATAAAAATACTAATACAAACTCACCACGTCGGTGTTAGTTGGTTGCATTTTCATTATTGATGAAGAAGTTGTTGCTTCTGTACTAACTTGATCACCATTTTAGACGTCCCGTGCTTTGTATTAGGAAGCAACCCTGACATGCGCATATGACCGTTGTTGCATATCTGTCACCCATTCTAACAGGTCATATCAAATTGCGTGGTGAAAGAGACTCTCATAAGAAAGTTTTGAAAATTTCTACTACTGCTACATATGCAAGAGAGCAAACAACTGAACAAAGGATCCACATTGGAAAAATGGATTAAGAATAATGAGACCGAAACTAACCAAACCATAAGTGCTAACGGGATAGCTAATGATAGAAAACTGACGTCATCAACCTTGCCAATCCAAAATCCATTAATCTAGCACCAAAGTCTGTGAGACCACCAACCAACTCTGAAAGGCAAGAATAAGCCATTGTAACAACTGAGAATGAAAATTTGGGTATGCAAAGGGTTGACTGACTATGAAACTATATATACTGCAAAAATTAGGGTATTTATGAAAGTGCACAAAAATAAATTAACAATGCAATGATTCAGAGATTAATACAAATTTTAAGACATTACAAATCAGGAAGATAAAAGGAATGGATTAATAATGGTAGAAGGTGAAATGAAATGAAAAACGTACCTTAAACTTCTGAAATTGGGAGGGAGAAGGTCATAAAGTCAGAGGAAAACTTTAGCGAAATAAGAAAATAAAAATAACGCCTCATAAACTAACCTATTCAATTGGGTCTTTAAGGTCATGTTAGTGGGCTGGGCTTTAGGAAAACGTTTTAGGCTTTAATAGCAGCTGGTCAATTATTTAGTGTGTTCCTTTTAACTCATTTATGTACTTATTTTATAGGCAAAAAAATCAGAAATGGTGGCCATTGGAGGGTGCCACATCACCTGTTTTATATTCAGCTTTATATATATATATATATATATATAGATAGATAGATTTAGTCCGATTGGATTGATTTTTTACCCGTTTGCGTATATAAACGTTTCTCACTTAATCATGGTTATGATATTTAATCAAATTAATCACCTAGTTGGTATTGTTTTTCTCCAATTCCAGATTTTTATTTTCATGTCTGTGTCTATTTATAAGTTCCGTCTGTACTACTGTCCAATTTTATTTATCTTTTAGCTGCAAAATTTAGAAATTTGACAAAAATCTCTTCAAATTTAAGGAGTTCAGATACATCATTCAATGTCCTGAACATCGCGTCCTGATTTCGGACACATCACTCAGCTTTCCAATACATCATGTTCCGATTTTGGATACATCACTCAACGTCCTGATACGTCGTGTTTCGATTTCGAATACAACACTCAATACCCAATACATAACGTCCCGATACATTACCTTGATACTAGACACACCTGGATATAGTTTTAGTGGAGGACCCTTGATTTTTTTTGGGTTTAAAACCACACTTTTAATATGTTTTATACATAAAAAAATGGAACTGAAACTAAAAAAAAAAAACTGAAACTAAGAAAGAAAAAATTAAAACCACACTTTTAGCATGTTTTATAAAAAAAAAAATTTAAAAAGGGAACTGAAACTAAAAAGAAAAAAATAACTGAAACTAAGAAAGAAAAAATTAAACACTAACACAGAGATTGGAACCCTCGACATGGAGGTTAATTTCATGGGGTCCTGCCTCTAGGCTATCGGTTTCTCTTTTTCATTAAAGGGGTTCAAAATATATATATCCACATAAATACAGAAAATTATCTTATATATATAATGTAATTTTTTGCCGAAGGAGTTCGGGTGAACCCCTGGAACCCATGTGGGTCCACTCTTGTTCACTTAAAATTATTGTTCATCAATATTACTAATACTATTCAAAATAGTCGTGACCTATCACCTCATAAAGCGCTTTTCTTGAATTATTTTTACAATAGATTTTTAGTATAAGGAATAAATAAAAGTGACGAGAGAGAGTATTTAATTTGTTGAAATGTGCTTGACGTTTGCCTTTTCATACGAGACTTTTCACCAACTTTTGTTTGATTGGCCTTGAAAATTCCAAGTGTTAAATAAACTTTATCTTTATTCATATGATATGATACTCACTCACTGTGTCTCAAATTTATATTAATAAAATAACAGGGAGTAGGTATATTTTGATTCTATTTAAACGGCAACATCTTGGGGTTCCTAAAACACACTTTCCAAAAACATTGAAGCAGAGTCAATAAAATGGTTTCAATATTGAATAACATAGGGATGATGGTCACCTTCAACAGACCATCATTTACTTGTTTTTTCACACTCCGTCACTCTACATCTGCTTCTGCCATGAACATTATTACTCCTATTTCCACCACAAGGCGTTCAGGGAATTACGAGCCTACCATATGGGATTTTCAATTTATTCACTCCCTGCACAATCCTTATGCGGTAAACGTACCTACATTTTCTATATATTATATTAACCTCACGCGTTATTCATTTAATTTGTAAATGTGTTGCGTAGGGAGACAAGTATATGAAGCGTTTTAACAAACTAAAGAAGGAAGTAAATAAAAATTTGATGATGATGATGGTTGAAGGATCACAAGAGTTAGAGAAGTTGGAGTTGATTGATAATTTAGAGAGGCTTGGAGTGAGCTACCACTTTAAAGATGAAATTATGCAAATTTTGAGGAGCATTAATTACCAAAATATAACCCCAAGAGATTCATTATATACCACAGCTTTGAAATTTAGACTATTGAGACAACATGGTTTTCATATCTCCCAAGGTACAATACTATTTTAATTTGACTTTTATTTCTTGTTCATTCTTGTTTTTCTCTAGGCAATCTGTTTTATTGATTAAATCTATTTTGAACCTTATAGGAATTAAAACTGTTGAGAGAGAAAACACTTTTATTTACTTACTTATATATTTTCAAGAAAAACGTCAAAAGATATTTTCTATAGCTACAATATTGTGAGAAATAGAATCTAAATCAACTCTTATATTATTTTTTTTCTTGTTGTTTCTAGATATATTGAACGATTTCAAAGACGAGAATGGAAATTTGAAGCAGAGTATTTGTAAAGACACAAAAGGTTTGTTAGAATTATATGAAGCATCATTTCTCTCTACAGAAACTGAAATCACTCTGAAAAATGCCACAAGATTCACAGTGGCACATCTAAAGAATTATGTTGACAATCATTCATGTGGAAATCAAGACGATAATATAATAGTGGAATTAGTGGTCCATGCTTTGGAACTTCCAAGACATTGGATGATGCCAAGATTAGAGACAGAGTGGTATATTAAAATTTATGGGAGAATACCAAATGCTAATCCTCTTCTGCTCGAGCTTGCTAAATTGGACTTCAACATAGTTCAAGCAGCACACCAACAAGATTTGAAAATTCTGTCAAGGTGAGGTATCATTCAATTATATCTTTTAGATGATCTGATAGTAATATGATTTCAGAGTTAAAATTCCATGTTAGAACATGTACAATATAATTTCTCATGTAATGTAAAGGTGGTGGAAGAGCACAAGTTTGGCAGAGAAGTTGTCATTTTCAAGAGATAGACTGGTGGAAGACTTTTTCTGGTCAGTGGGATTAGTATTTGAGCCTCAACACAGCTTCTGTCGAAGAATGGTGGCGAAAAACGTTGCTTTTATAGTCGTCATAGATGACATTTATGATGTTTATGGCACTCTTGATGAGTTGGAAATCTTCACTCATGCTGTTCAAAGGTCAGTTATTAACTTTTGATGAACATCATAATACCTAACTTAATCGTCGTCCTTGTCAGCTTGTTTGTGATTTCGAATTTTGATTTCTTGTAATACAAATTCAGATGGGATGTAAAAGCAATGGAGCAGCTTCCGGACTATATGAAAATATGTTACCTTTCACTCTTCAACACTACCAATGAAATGGCCTATCATATTCTCAAACAACAAGGGATCAATGTCCTGCCCTACCTCACAAAACAAGTATGTAAAATTACAATCTTCACTTAATCCCCTTCTTTTACTTTCAATCTTTGAGGCAGAACCAATATTTAAATTTCATTGGATTCAGAATTTAATTTTTCTATTTTATGCAACACAAAATTGGATTCAGTTGAACCTATATTGGCCTCTGCCCCCTCTCCTCCCCTGCCCCAAACCACAAATTAAAGCTCTAATTAATCCATTTATATATTTGAAAACAAGTTACTATTAATTAGTGGGCAGATTTATGCAAAGAATACTTACAAGAAGCAAGATGGTACCACAATGGATATAAGCCAACACTAGAAGAGTACATGAATAATGCATTGATTTCAATTGCAACTCCTTTGGTATTACTCCATGCATTCATCTCTCTCATCAATCCAACTACCAAAGAGGCATTGGAATCCTTAAACAAATATCCAGATATAATTCGTCGATGTGCTATAATTAATCGTTTCGTCGATGATTTGGCGACATCATCGGTACGTTTTCATATATACCTTAATTCCTCTCATATTAATCTTGTGAGTGCTCCTCATTTTTTAATTATTCTTGTTGTTAATTTAGGATGAATTGAAAAGAGGTGATGTTCCCAAGTCGATACAATGTTGCATGAATGACAAGGGTATTTCGGAAGAAGAGGCAAGAAAACACATCAATTTATTGATAAAGGAGATGTGGGAAGTGATGAACAAAGACCAAATTAGTAAAGAAATGCTATTTTCTGAAGAATTCATTAGGATTGTGTTAAATTTTTCAAGAACATCACACTGCATGTACCAGCATGGAGATGGGCATGGAATTCAAAATTCTCACATTAAAAATTATATTTCCAAATTACTCTTTGAGCCTCTCATTATGTAATCAATTTCATAGTGTCTTAACTATTCAATACCTAAAAAAGCATAAAGCTCTGTTTTTCATGGGCAATCTTTGTGACTTCCATCAGATACACAAATATATGGTAAAAAAATATTTGCGATAGGTTGGTCCTTATTTTAGTACTCCCTATAATCCATAATTATTGCTATATGTGTCTCATATTAATTGATCACTTTACTTTTTACACATATGTTAAGAAATTATAAATAAGAAGATAGTTTTACCAATTCATCCCTTAAGAACTTCTTTGAAACTTTATAAACAAGTGTAAACACTTTCAAAAAGAATTAATTAAAGGGTAATATGAGAAAAAATCGATTAATGATTTCTTGATTTAGTGAGGTGTTCAAAATAAGTTAATTTTTCAATGTTCAAGAATAGTTGTCAGAAATTTCTTCCATTTTTGTTCTTCATTTACATTTTCTAGGTGATAAGTTCAAGAAAAATAATTTTTCATATTTCCTCAATTTCGAAATAAGTGAATTGTTGAGGTAATACACACCTATTAAGAAAAAAAGTTTAAGAAATAAATTTAACATCACTTTTCACTTTTGCCATTTTAGTTATTCACAAACTATTCTTGAAAATACAAATGGTTCAAATTAAAATCATAAATATGAATAAGGGAAGTGTTGAATGGCCAGAAAATTTGGCCAAAAAATTAAAAAACTATAATATTTTTTTTATTTAAAAATAAACTGATGTTTTTTTCATTTTTTAGTTAAAAGGTATTAAAGTTAAAAGAGTAAAAATGTTTTAAATGATAAAATATCATTCTGGCCAAATTTTCTAGCCAAAAAGATTTTTCCTATGAATAAATTAACTCTCTTGAAATTATCACCTAAAAATGGAAGAAATTTTCAATAGATCTCTTGAACTTTGAACAGTTCAGTAATTTTGAACTACTATAAAAAAGACCTAACAATTCGCTTATTTTAAAATGGAAAGTATATTTATATTTTTTACTTTGAATTATTTCTATTTCCAAAACTATTGGACTTTCTTGAATATTATTGTAGCCATTTAATTTAATTTGGCAAGTGGTCGACCCTGTTTTAACTTATCCTAATTCAGTCCAAACCCACCTATTAGTATTCATTTTTATCTCTTTTCCCAATTGAACAAAGTTTGGTACTCAGCTTTCTTTGGTCTTAGGTTCAGTCCTTATTTTAGTAAAATACGTAACTCCCGCCGTTTCTATTTATTTATTAAATATTTTTTTAATTAATTATTTTATTTGTTACTTTTGTCAAATTAAGAAAAAAATAATTTTTTTTTATTATACCTTCAATTTATTATTATTAAATTAATATTTTTGAAAAATATGGTGAGTAAATATATTTTGGAACCCATCAATTTGATAGGATTGAAATGATAAATTAATTATTATTTTCTTAATAACTGTGTTAGGTCAAAATTTGACAAATAAAAAACAAAGAAAGTATTAAATTTTTGCTTGTATTATAGCCATTTAATTTGGCAAGTGGCGGACCCTATTCTGACTTATTCAAATTCAACCTAACTCATCCGACATTCCTTTAATATACTCTCTTTGTTCCTAATTATTTGTCCACTTTTGACTTGGCACACATATCAAAAAAATAATTAGTGACATAGTGAGTTTACCATTTTACCCCTATTAATTATGAAGTGGATGAAAAGTCCTACATTTTTCAAAGTAATTAGTCATTTAATTGAGGGTATAATAGGTAAAAAAATTGTCCTTTAATTTCTTGATTTGTCAAAATGGACAAGTAATTAGGGGCAACTATAAAAGGAAAAGTGGACAAGTAATTAGGGACAGAGGGAGTATTTCCTAAAAATTGATTAAGTTGGTCCTTAGATTTTCTTTGATAATAGGTTGGTTCTTATTTTAATAATACGAATCAGTGTTATAATTTTTTTGCTGGGACTCGCCTTGGTGCTCATTTTGGGGTGAGGCTCTAGTAAAACGCTTTGAAACTCGAGTGTAAGGCTTAGTTTTGTAATATTTATGTCTTAAGTGTCCATTTGTGCTCAACGTCCAACACGTGGGGTTCGCTTAACAGAATATGGAGGATTGATCCTATTCATTGCTAATCATGCAGTTTTCTTAGCCTATTCTAATTTCACTCTTCTATTAGTCGAGATTTTTGAAAGAAAGTCTACCGAACGTGGGAAAACAGGAGGTTGCGGATTTCTGACCTCCGAGCCAGAACTATTTGGGGGAGAAACACATCCCCCACCAATGCGGCCTCGACCCTCTTTTCCAAGAGGCATGTAGCCGTAGGCGGGAACTCTGCTTTTTATCTTATTCTTTGGTCAGTCCAGCTTGTTGTTACATGAGTCTTGGCTTCAGCAGATGCATCTTATTACTATGTTGATGATCTTGTATACTAATCGAGTCCGCACTCGCCCGAGAACACGTACGTCCTCCCTATAATTGTCTTGTCTTTGTTATGAGCGATCCGGCCTCTAGCCCTATAATGATGGATTTGTCTTTAAAAAAAAACCCGACCTCGGTAGAAAACGAACGGCGGCGTGAAGTTGATGAGTAGGGAAGATGTCTTTTTTCTAGTTGACCGATCTTACACAGATGATGTGTTAAATTCTTTAATCAACATTGTTGGCCCTCATCATTCTTGGATAAATGAATGATACTTGATAGTTTCTTAATCATGATAAGCCATCAGTACTAGTTGTACTATCAAAAGCCTCTCTCTCTACTGCTGCCCATATGAAATTACCTCAACATACTATCCGACGTTTAGGGAATTACAAACCTACTACCTGGGATTTTCAATATATTCAATCCCTTAATAATAATTACACGGTATATTTATTTTATTTTTATGTAGCACACATACATTCTTTTATAACTGCATAATATATATATATATATATATATAAAATATATTATTATAAAGGACTACAAAATTAAATCTCCTATTTTATTCGTCAATGATTATCCACTAGCAAATATTTTAATGGACTGCCGGAAATTATATAGAAAGAGTTGGCTTTTATAATTCAAATTTATAATAAACTTTAACTAATCAATTTCAGATCATGACTTTGATAAACTAATTGAAAGTTCACATTTGCAGATCGATCTAACAATAATAATGCTTTTGCTGACTCAATTTTCTCAATGTAAGTGTTGTAAATCTGCAACAAGGTAAACTACCATTTGAGAGGAATTATAAGCTTTGAAGTAAAGAAAAAGGTATAATATTTTTCTACTTTTTTTTTCTATTTATTTTACATGTATTTTTGTGATTCATTTGATTTGAAAGAAACATACATAATAATAAGAAGTAGAAAAATGGTTTATATTTTTACTTAATAATTATAGAATGTATATGTAATATGTTGGATGTTCTCATAATTAACCATCATTTTTGTTCACTTGGTAACTCAAACCCACAATTTTAGAATTGGATGCGAGCAGGCTTATAGTTACGAGCAACTCCTGACATTGAATATATATTAGTTGAAAGAATCTATTTCCAGGCTTCAAGATCGGTCTCCGATCCTCTTTCCTTCCTTTTTAAACCTTTTTTCAATTTTTTCATGTTGCGTAAGTAAAAAACTCGCGTATTTTCCTTTTTACCAACCACACCCATATAGGGTCCAAGCTTGTAAAGGGAGATTAATTAAGGTCTCTAATCATGATATATGAAGAAGACATTTTAACGTAGTTTATGTAAATATAGATCTTGGTTGGCTCTACATTTAAGATCTTAATATATCATGATACCAAGAAACACTTTTAACATAGGCGGTGTTATCAATACGTTGGAAATAGATATTTTTTCAATTTTCTTATGTTCGATTGCTTAACTTTTTTTTAGAAAATATATCGAACACAAAAATGAAGAAGCAATAAACCCACTTATTAGCTTTAAAAATACTAATTAAAAAAAAAAACATTTTCAGAAAGTGATTTCCTTTACCAAACACACCCATGGTTTTGTGTAAATTTAGATCTTGTCTCTCTAGTGCTCTCTCTATTTCGTTTAACTGAATTTTCGAGCCTTTTTTCATTGTTCAAAATAATTGAATTGTTCAAAGTTCAAGGTAGATGTTTGAAACTTTTTTCATATTTGACTGTTTCATTTATTGTAGTTTTATATTTTTATGGAGATAAATTACATTACTTACAAAGTTATATTTATGATTTCACAAAGGGCAATAGTGAAAAATATGATTTAAATTATGTCTTTGAATGTTTTTCTTGATACTAGTTTCTAGACACCTACAACGCACATGTGTCTGATGCAATATGTTATAAATTCGTTAGGACGATTAAAATTCAATGAAAGTTTGTGTGTAATGAGTACTAAAATGCAACAATCTCAAATAAATGTTATGATAATAATTTATAGAAAATTAAAGGGAAAATGCACAAGTACCCCCCTAGCCTATGCCCCAAATCCCTGAGACACACCTAACCTTTACTAAGGTCCTAGTATCCCCCGGAACTTATTTTATATATAATTTTCTGCGCCTTTTCGACCTACGTGACACTATCTTGTGGGTCCAGCGCATGTTAACAATTTTTTCAAGGATAGTGCCACGTAGGCCGAAAAGGGGTAGAAAATTATATATAAAATAAGTTCGGGGGGAGGGGGAGTAATAGGACTTTAGTAAAAGTTAGGTGTGTTTCAGTGATTTTGGGCATAGGCTGGGGGAGGGGGGGGAGGGGGGTACTTATGCATTTGTAGAGAAATATCAAAAAAATAAACATAGAAGAAAACAATATCATACGCATCCTTCTTAAACTAAGGTCCTATTACCCCCTGAACTTATTTTTTTGTAATTTTGTACACCTTTTTGGCCTACATGGCCTCCAAACATCTCCCACGCGCCTCACTTAAGTGGAGTCACGGAGTGTGCCATGTAAGTCAAAAGGTGTACAAAATTACATAAAAAATGAGTTTAGGGGGGTAATAGGACCTTAGAATAGTTAAGGTGTGTCTCTGGGATTTTGGTCATAGTCTAGGGGGGGGGGGGGGAGGGCGGTTACTTGTGCCTTATCCCTTATATAAATGAAAAAAGA